TGTGTGTGTGTGTGTGTGTGTGTGTGTGTGTGTGTGTGTGTGTGTGTTTTCTAAACGCTGGAGGCTGCTTGTAAGGTAAGCCTTGCTAGTTGAGGGCAGCAATCTGGAACACCCCTCCTTGTAGCACTGAGCTACTTTAATAACATCAATTGCATGAATAAAAGCGAGCATCATGTTAATGGTTGCAGAACGTGACAGCTGGAACATTTTCCAGAGTTACTTAGTGAGATGAAGCTGCCATACACTTTTGGGCAAAGTCCTCAGGGGAGCTCTGGAATCCAATTAAACAAACCAGGATGCAGACTGAAAAACACAGCCACTGTGGGAGACGTAAAGGCTACTGAGTCTTTGTGATGCCTGTGAGAAGCGGGTGAGAACAGAGGTGTGTGAGTTTGCTGATTTGTTTCTAGCCTTGTCCAGGACACTGGCGTGCTCTGGTCTAGAGACCCATGCGTTGTCAAGCCTGTGCCAGAGGGAATTTACTGATTTATAAAGTGGGGATAATAATACCATCTCGAAAGTTACTGTGAGCTGGACATGGTGGTGCTCCCCTGTAATCCCAGCACTCTGAGAGGAGAGGCAGACAGATCACTGTGAGTTCAAGGCCAGCCTGGTCTACAAAGCAAGTCCAGGATAGCCAAAGCTACACAGAGAAACCATGTCTTAAAAATGAACAAACAAACAAAAGTTATTGTGGACATTAAATAGTTAATAATGTAAAATACCCAGAATAAGGTATATGTGGAAAACAGTAAAAATATTAGTTGTATTGATGATAATTATAATTATAATACCTATTTTCTTGAGTGTTTATGTCTTTGTTTGGGAAACAAGAATTTCAAATCCTGGTTTCTTGGTACTAATGGTAAGATTATTTTTTTCTTTTGTCCCAAACCATCTAGCAAACATTTACTAGGAAAATCACTTCTCAGAGAAGTTGGTTGTCAAGCTAGGGTACCTGTGAATCACCTCGGAATGTTTCTCAGGCTTCAGAAAGATTTTAATTTAGGCGGATTTTAATTCTGGCTGGAGGCTTGCAAGGGGCATGTGTTGTATGTGTTTTGTTTTAACAGGCCGAGGACTGGACCAAGGGCCTTACACAAGCTAGGCTGGTTGTCCTAGAGTTTCTGTTGGTATGATAAAAACACCATAACCAAAAGCAACTTGGGGAGGAAAGCATTTATTTCATTTTATACTTCCCCTAATAGCCCACCACCGAGGGAAGTCAGGGCAGGAACCCACAGGCAGGAACTGAAGCAGAAGCCATGGAAGAATTCTGCTTATTTACAGGGCTTGCTCAGTTTGTTTTTTTATACAGCCCAGGAATAGCACTACCTGCATGGGATGGGCCGTCCCACATCAATCACTAATATAAAAAATGTTCCACATGCTTGCCTACAGGCCAGTCTTATGGAGGCATTTTTTCAGCTCTTCCCTCTTCTAAGTGAATCTGACTTTTGTCAAGTGGACATAAAATTAGCCAGGACACTGGTATTCTACCGCTTAGCCACATCCTTGGTCTAGAAGCTATATTTTAAACTGTTCTGTCTATACTAGCTGATTTTTTTAGACCTTTTGTCTGGCCGAAGTAGGGGTGGGGTTTAGGTTATTGTTGAGGACTGAACCCAGTGCTGCATTCACACTAAGTACTGTGCACCGAGCTACACCCTGTTTGTTCATTGTTTATTTAATTTTACATCGAGTTAAGGTGTTGTTAAATTACCTGGTGGCCTCAAATTGTATATGATGCAAGTTGGCTTCAAACTTAAAATACTTTTGCTTTCACTCCCTGAGGATCTGGGATTACAGGTGTGCCCACATCATCTTGCTAAAGCATCTCCTAATACACTTCTAGCCTGGCATGCCAACAAGAAAATGTGTTGACCATTTTCTTCCCTTTTCCCCTCTCCTCTTCTTCTTTCCTTCCCTCTTCCCTCCTCTTCTCACTCATCTTCCTCCCCCATCATTCCTTCCCTTCTGTTCCTTTCCCCTCCACTCCCCTCTCCTGCCCTCTCCTCTCTTTTCCTGTTTTCTTTTTTGTGTGTCCCTAGTTGTGAGCAAGCGGAGCTGAGGTGAGGTTCTCAGTGCTTCCACTGTTAGTGTGCAGCAGGCTAACTGCACTTTAGTGCCCAGAGCTTTATAAATGAGCCAGAGTCTACTGTTGCCTTGCTTGGGCATAGGGACACACACAACACAGGGGCACAGCACACAGGGACACACACAGCACAGGGGCACAGCACACAGGGACACAACACAGCACAGGGGCACAGCACAGGGGCACAGAACAGCACACAGCACCGCACACAAAACAGAGACACAGCACAGCACACAGCACCGCACAGGCATACAGCATAGGGACAGAGCACAGGCACACAGCACAGCACACAGCACAGAGAACAGCACAGAGACAGAGCACAGGGGCACAGCACAGGCACACAGCACAGCACACAAAACAGAGACACAGCACAGGCACGCAGCACAGCACACAGCACTGTGCAGGGACTCACACCATGGAGGGACGCAGCACAGTGCATGGACACAGCACAGACACACAGCACAGCTAAGTGCCATTTGCTATGAAGTAAAGCCTTCTTGTATACAGTAAGAAAGGTGCCTCTTGACTTGTTTCTAGCTGACTTCATTAAACCTAAGAAAACTGTAAATTTTACTTTAAAATTTTCCTAATATGACAAAGCTGAATGATGCTAATGTGGAGCCCGGTGTTTATCCAAAAAAAGTTGCTGCATTTGCTTGTCAGAGAACGAGACCTCCATTGCAACACATCTTGAGGAAGTAAACTTGGTCAACGACCAAACTCCCTTCATTCTAACCTCATTTCTATCAATCACTGTCTTTTTATTTAATTACTGTTTGGGTAGTCTAGGCCTCATGCATGCTGGGTAAATGCTTTACCACTGTGGTGCATGCCCAGCCTGCACTCTTTTAAACACAGGCCATTTCTAATGCTCAATTTTATTGGCTTTCCAGTTGCTTTGCAGGTGGAAGTGATCTTTTTTTTTCTTTCTTTTGGGATGATTTTCTTTTCTATGCTTGACTCTCCCCTTTGACCTTGCTTGCTAGTCTGCTCTAGCTGAAGTTAAAGTATAATCTTGACTAGACTTATATTAATTCAATAAACAGAACAGGAGGCTTCTCAGATACCAGCAGCAAAGGGTAAACAGGAGTTAAAGCAATACAGTTAAATGGGATTCAGGCAAACATGTATACTCTGTTTTAATGATAAAATGCATTAATAAGCAAGGCTCAGAAATTTGTAACTGTGTTTGAATAGGACAGAATTTATTTTCTTCAATTTATGTTTTTAATCAAAACAACTGAATTGGAGGTACTGCAGTGGTTTGAATTACTTGGCAAAATAATTTGACTTTAGATTTAAAAATTGTTTTTGTGTGTACAACAACAATATATGGCTGTGCTATATTTTCCTACAAAGAAAGTCCTGACATTGGTAATTCATGCCTTTCTACAGACAACAATAATTAAGCCTCTAAATTATTAAAGACTAGCAAATGTCTCCAATGCCCACAGGTTGGATTCCAAGTTTACAAATGGGCAGCCAGTGTGGGGTGATTACTCAAGCATGACTAGCCTGACAGGCCAAAGCAAGCCAGCAGAGCACATTGTTGGTGTTTGCCTAAATGGAAATAAATGCTGGCTGCTCAGAAAATATGGTCTGGGTTCCCAGGCTGGCTCACAGGTACTTCTGGACCTTGAACTGTGTAACCAAGGGGATCTCAGGACCCCTTGCCAGATTTGGGGATCTCAGAACTCCTTGCCAGATTTTTTTCAAAAGCAGAAACAGAAACAGTAGAAAATTTAGACTACAGCCTAAAAAAGTAGTGATTGAGAGATAGGTTAGGCCCATGCTAATTATCCAAAGCCGCTGTGAAACAAGCTGGTAAATGGAAGTCCTTGCCTGCGGAGAGTCAATCGATGAGTGAGGCACAGCACACCTTTGTCAGAAAAATTACATCGATCATTTTAGACCTTAAAATATCTTTTTTATTGGTAAAGGTGTGGTGTTTATTTAAAATAATGTCATGTTAGCTAGATATGTTGCTCATGTCTGTAGTCCTTCACTGGAGGGAATAGAGGCCAGAAGTTCAGAAATTCAGTGCCAGCCTGGGTAAAGCCAGCTCTGAGCTCTAGCTACATATAACTTTATGAAAAAAAAAGAGGCAAATAATCCCCCCCACATACACACACACACACACAGAGAGAGAGAGAGAGAGAGAGAGAGAGAGAGAGAGAGAGAGAGAGACTTTGCTGCCACCACAGCAAAAGCATTTAGATTTGCTGGTCATAGCCTCTGGGACCTTTCAGAATACAAATACAGGCCTAAACCTTGGGAAATGATGTGAAAGGGAAAACATCTGTTTTGGGAACTGATGTGCCCAGTCTCCTTTTTGCTGTTTCCCCTTTCTTCCTGCAGTGCTAGGGATGAACCCAGGGCCTCACACATGCCCGGAAGTCTCACCACTGAGCTTCCCTACAGTTTCTCTTGCTTTTTGCCATATTGCTTTATGAGATGTCTCACAAGCTCACTGTTCCTCTTGAAGTAGCAGAACTTAATGTGTTCTCACTTCCAAAGTGCATAGACTCTAAATTTTAAGTCAACAGAACAACCTTGAGTCCATGGGATTTGAGGAGAGCAGGGTTAGCAGGGTGTAGGAGCCGGCTCAAAGGGCTGCACCGTACCGTACTGTTCTGAAGTGTGCTCATCACATCCACACAAGGACTTGCCCTTTGCCTGTCTCTGTCTACAAGCAGGGATAGTTTGTTACGACCTTTCTTATAAGCATTTGAATTTTTTATATGTTTGAGTTGCTTTTTTTTTTCAGCTCATTTTTGCTCATGGATAAAAAGGTTTTTCAATGAAGGAGCTCCTTTGGGTGACAGATATTATTAAAACCCTGGACAGTGCCAACAATTGTCTTGTCTTCTTTCCCATTCAATTTTGCAATTTGCTCAAAAATACTTAAGAGGTTGGAGATGAGGCTCAGTGGTAGAGCCCCACCTGGCAGAAATGTACAAGGTCTTTGGTTTGCTCTTCGGCACTGGAACTACATAAACAATGAAATTTCCAAATAAAAAATTGCCATGCCCAGCTCAGTCTCCAAGGGGATTCCCTAGTGAGGAGAACAGGGGCTGTCTCTGACAAGAACTCAATGGCTGGCTCTTTGATCACCTCTCCCTGAGGGGGAGAGGAGGTGGTAGGAAAGAGTAGTCTTTCCAGGCCACAGAGGAAGACTATGCAGACAGTCCTGATGAGACCTGACAGGCTAGGGTAAGATGGAAGGGGGGGAGGAGGACCTCCTCTATCAGTGGACTGGGGGAGGGGCATGGGAGGAGAAGAGGAAGGGAAGGTGGGATTGGGAGGGGCCGAGGGAGGGGGCTACAGCTGGGATACAAAGTGAATACATTGTAATAAATAAAAAATAAATTTAAAAAATTGCTATGTCAATGTCATAGGCATATGTATGCACATGGTGACATTTTTAAAATGATTTTCTCACTGAAGGATTTTGGGCTCGTGAAGTGGGTAAAATGATTGGACTGGAGCATCCCCTCATCCCTGTGCAGCATCAGTATGTCGTCACATCCACAATACCAGAAGTGAAGGCTTTGAAACGAGAGCTCCCAGTGCTTCGTGACCTGGAGGGATCCTACTACCTCCGACAGGAAAGGGATGGGCTTTTGTTTGGTCCCTACGAAAGTCAGGAGAAGATGAAACTTCAAGCCTCCTGGGTGGCTCATGGAGTCCCTCCAGGTGGGTTCAGCAAATGGAAGGTATATGGGTCAGAGATGATGAGTCAGGAAAAGCTGGGAGCCAGATACAGAATAAGACAAAATCCCAGTGCTGACCTGCAGGTGTCTGAAATGGCTTGAGGGAGGGCTTGGAGGTGATGCTGGACTTGGTCCTTGTATCCTTAAGGAGAATACACAGGGCCAGAGGACAGGGGAGAGATGCAGATGGTTGAGGAGAGTAGCTTATGTTAGCACTAGGGTTGCTGGGAAAGGCTCCAGGTACAACCTTCTGCCATTTCCCTTTCCCTCGATCTGCCTGCTTGGTCTAGTTTCAAAATCTGAACACAGATGCTTGTGCTGTTGTCCACACTGCAGGTACCCAGACAGGTGTCAACCTACAAAGAATGCTGGCCAGAGTCCTCAGCGAAGGTGGGACTATGAGCAGAGGGCCTCCTGTGCCTCACAAGTGGGAACTGCTCAGAGTGCTAAGCCTTAGCAAGAGGGGCGGTGCTTTCTAGTTCCATCAGGGAGACGGACCAGGGTTTTTGTTTTATTTTGCATTATTTTCTTTTTGATTGGGCTGTGTAGACAGACACCTCTAGCTTTAATCTTGTGTGTGTGTCTGTGTATGTATGTGCATGCATGCATGTGTGTATATGTGTGCATATACGTACATAGAGATGTGTGTACATGCGCATGAGAAGGCCAGAGGACATCCTTAGGTGTCATTCCCAGGCACAGTCTACATTTTATTTTACTTTTTGAGGTAGGTCTCTCATTGGCCAGGAACTCAGCAGAAGGTAGGCTGGCTGCCCAGTGAGGCCCAGGAATCTATTTTGCTTCTACCTTACAAGTGCTGGGATTATATAAGTACACACAGCCACGAACAGGTGCATTTACTTATTTTCTTGTTTATTTGTTTGTTTATCTATTTATAGATAAACAAGACCTGGGGTTGACCTCAGGTCCTTATGCTTGTGAGGCCAGTTCCTTTCTAGATATGGCTCCTTTCCGAGCCCTCTGGATTTAGTCTATAAGAGGAGCTAATATATGGTTTGGGCACGGACCTATTTCAGGGAATGTGAAGAAACATAAAAGGGCATTTTCTGGAATTATATGTTGTTAAGCAGTTTGAAGTGGGGAGCAGACCCCTGTCTCCCACGTAACAGGAAAGGACTTCGGACCCACCTTGCCTCCTTCAGAGGCTGGTCCAGCAGCCAGCAGGCTTTGGTTTCCCTGATTGGACCATGTGCATCTGGGTCTGAGCAAAATTGTTTCTTACCTCAGAGTGAGGGCTGAGAGCTCCTAGGGAGGCGGGTATAGGGAGGGCCTCTCTCCACTCTGTCCATGCTGTAGCTTTGTTTCCAAATAAATACTGAGCAAATATTGAAATGCTAGAGGGAGAGCCAGGCTGAGTTGTTCCTGGCATGGGTATCACATGCCCTAGTGCAACCCTGGTAGCCTGAGGCTCCATGCCATTGTCCTGATCAAGAAGGGCCAGGAGAACTGGGCGGGGACCTAATGAAGTTTATCTGTTGGCCCTGCTTTTAGTCATGGTGACTTCTAGGATGAAAGAAAGATAGCTGTTGTGCAGGCTCACAACAGCTGGGAGGAAGCTGCAGGATGGAGGCAGCGTGGAGAAAGGAGAGATCACAGAGCTCTCAGGTCCTTTTTCTCCAGTGTCCTGGAATAATTGCACACTGCATTTGCTCTCATGTTTATGTTTATTGAAAGATTATTTTAAAATCTGTCCTGATAAACCAACTTATTGTTCTTTTTAAAATAATGATTCAGTAAAATATTGGAGGGGGGGAACCTAAGCATAAATTTCAGTTTCTATGTACTAAAAAGGTGACTATGGTTTCAGTAAGAATAGCATTATTGTTCCCAGGAATGTTATGGTATTGGGAGAGTGAGTTTAGACTTAATATTTCTTGGTCTGATTTATTGGTATGTGTATGTGGGCATTTAAATGTGAGGACAGACTTGTGGGGGTCAGAGGACGACTTGCAGGAGTCAGTTCTTAGCTTCCACCATGTGGCTCCTAGAGACTGAACTCAGGTTGTCAAGCTTGGTGGCAGGTTCCTCTACCCTCAGTCATCTCACTGGCCCCAACTTTAGCATCTAAAGAAAAAGGAAGTGTCCACCTTAGGGCACCTGTTTTAGAACTGTCTTACTTTGAGATTTGCCTGTACATGAGGGACAGAAGTCTGTCTTTCTAGGCTTCGGAAAGGAACTTTTTGAGTCTGACCTGGACCGAATCATGGACCATCTGGAGGCTGCCATGGACATGATTCCTGTTTTGAAAAAGGCGGATATCATCAATATCGTCAATGGCCCTATCACCTACTCCCCCGACATTCTGCCTATGGTGGGGCCCCACCAGGGAGTCAGAAATTACTGGGTGGCCATTGGCTTTGGGTGAGTAACACCCTGAGACTTGACATTCCTTGCAGAAGTGTTTTCTTTAGCTAACAACCAGTCTTAAAATATCAGGCCCCAAAGTAGAAAACATGGAAGAGGGGGTAGACAGTGGGGATGAAGTGGAATGAGGAATAAGGTAAGGGTGGGGTTGCCTCTTCCTACTGACCAAAGAGGGGACTAACTGTTTATTGGGCTAAGCACCTATGTAGTCAAGGTTAGCACACAGAGGGCAGTCATCTTGTGAAACTGTCTTCATGTATTTCCTGCCTCTTGGAAGTATCTCTTTGTGTCCCTGTTCATGCTGTTACCTTCCAATGGGTCAATTTGTCCCAACTGGACAAGAATATTTTCATAACAGAATGTGACATATTTAAAATATCAAACGGATAACATATCTTATGTATTTTCAAAATAATTCTTGTTTGTCTATTACATTGTGTAACTCCCTTGGCCACTTCCTATTTAAGATTCCACTCATTGCCTCTGTTTCATTTCTAATATTTGTCTTATTAATATGCTGAATATTGATGTCAAATTCACTTCACCATCACATCAAAGGTTCTAATATTCTAGTTTTCTTCTCTATTCTATTTGGATGGGTTTTTCAAATAATCATTAATGATTGTCAGCTCTGTACCAGGCTTCTTGCTACAAGTACAAAGTGATGCCTTTTTATTCTCCTTGAGACTAACTTGGTAACAGTCAAGGCATATTTATTTTTCTAAAGGAGTGTAGTTGGGGAGAAAGCATTTTCTGTCAAACTCCTCCCACGATTCTTAGAACTAAGGTTCTGGCTTTTAAGTCAGTATGGTTTGGGGGTGCTAGAGTTCTTGTGTTAGGTTTTTTATTTTTGAATGTGTATTGGTGTTTTGCCTGCATGTATGTGTGAGGGTATCAGATCTTGGAGTTATAGGCAGTTGTGAGCTGCCATATGGGTACTAGAAATTGAACCCGGGTCATCTGGAAGAGCAGTCAGTGCTCTTAACTGCTCAACTATCTCTCCAGCCCTGTGTGTTAAGATTTTTTTTTAAATATATGGTAATAGAGATCAGACCAGGGGGTGGAATGGGGTTTTCACATTAGTATCAAGTTCCCTTGATTATCTCTCTGAGTCTCACCCTATTCATTTCCTTAAAAGCTCCTTTTTTAATGTAATCACAGATAATATGGGTTTATTGAAAGCCTTTGTTAATAAGAATGGGAAGAAGACCTGAATAAAGCATCCTGGATTTGGTATTCTGATATCATAATAATATGTATGATTTAAAGCATCTTTTGGTGGCTGGGAATGTAAGCAAGTAGAGTGCGAGCTACCATGCAAGAAAACCCTGGGCTTGATCCTCAGCGTCCTATGATCCAGGCATAGTGGATATCTCTGTAACACCGAAGCTAAGGAGGTGGAGGCACAGGAAGATAAGTTCAAGGCCACTCTCAGCTACGTAATCAGCCTTAGGCCAGCCAAGCATCTTTTTGTGAGACAAACAGACCTTCCCCTCCAAGTGACCTCTTAGTTGCAAATTACAGAGGTCATGTTCTGCCCTTTCTGCCCTGTGCCAGCTGAGTGCCCGCTGAGTGCCTACCTCTGTGTGAGTGCTTCTAAGTTAAAGATTCCTTGCATAGAGGCTATCACCTAAGAAAATAAGCACTGCACTGAGTTGTGAAGAGATGGGGTGAGGGTGGGAGCGCCTCCCGCAATTTCCTGTCAGGATAATCACCCCTCAGAATGGCAGGTGAGAGCCAACTGCTTCTTCCCTAAAGTCAGCGCCTTTACTAGCTGGCAGCCACAGGCTATCTGTGAGTGCGGTTTCCCCTGTAAAAGTGTGAAAACAAGCCAGCAGTCAAGTCAGGAGTGTTTCATCTTCATGCCAGAACATACACTGATTTGTTTTAGAGGAAAAAATGTATAGCATAAACATAAGCGCATCACTTGTGTGCTCTGAGGAGCATAGGTGACTCCAGCTTTGATCCCTGTAAGATGTCTAGACATACTTCACCACTTGAATGCTTCACATTTGTAATATCAATAATTATCTTTGTATCCTAAAGATACGGCATAATCCACGCTGGTGGGGTAGGGAAGTACCTCAGTGACTGGATTTTGCATGGAGAACCTCCTTTTGACCTGATAGAACTGGATCCCAATCGCTATGGCAAATGGACAACAACACAGTACACTGAGGCCAAAGCCAGAGAATCATATGGGTTCAACAACATCGGTGAAGTACTAACTTGCTGTCATCTAGAAAGACCTGTAGCATCTCTCACTTTAGATACTCTGTTCTGTTCCCTGGGAGTGGGGAGGAACTGTGATCGTGCCTTAAGTTATAGCAGGGGATGTATATGACTGCATAAGGTTAAAATGTGTTGGGTACATCACTGATTTTAAGCATTTAGGGTATTTTTATTTTACCCTTTGATGATCAGTATAATTGGCATCTTTTAAAAAACATATATACACACACACTTTTGAATTGTATGTCCCATCCTTTCCATTCCTAAAATCTCTTCAGTGTATTGCTTCATTTCAGTTATAAACTATTAGAGCGCTCCTGTTCCCTTCTCAGTCGGTTATCCCAAAGAAGAACGGTTTGCTGGGAGGCCAACCCAGAGAGTCAGTGGGCTCTACAAAATCCTGAAGTCCAAGTGCTCCATGGGCTTCCATGCTGGCTGGGAGCAGCCACACTGGTTCTACAAACCCGGCCAGGACACTCAGTATAGGTAAGTGAATGTCATCATAGCTTGCATGTGCTTCTGTTCCAGGGCTGTCATCCCAGGGTAGAGCAGAAGGAAAGAGGGCCCAGATTCCTCAACCATCATAACTGCACTGCTCTCAGAGGAACACTGAGTCTGCTCCCAGGATCACTTACCTGCTCATGGTGGAGGCATTCCTTATGCCAGCCCAGGGGACACTGGTCATCTCACTCACACCTTTTTTACTTGGCAGTTACCAGAATCTCAGAGGAACCTTCCTCGTTCCCATCCACGTACATTATACGGCTTTAATTGGCTGCTGAAAGTTTGTCATGGCTTCGGGTTCCTGATCAAATCTCATGGTATTCAAACACTATGGAAAGGATCCACAACTCTGGGTCACAAAACAGACAAGAGAGCACCTGCACTTAAGATTAATACCAAGTATACCACTGAAACAGGCCTCTGAGTATCGCATGGCATTGCTGGACTTGGGGTTAATGGTTATTTGTTTCCATGAGAACCCATAAATTAAGGAAAAATGAGTAGCATGTCTAGAAGCTAATTTACCAGTACTCTCAAACTGTCATTTTGCTATTTGAACAGAGTTTGAGGTTAGAAGGATAGCTCACTTGGTAAAGCATTTGCCATGCCAGCATGAGGACTTGAGTCTGATCCCAGTACCTATGTGTAAAAGTTGGGCGTAGGCTTAAAATCCCAGCACTGGAGGGAGGGGCAGACAGGTGGATCCATGGGTCTTGCTGGCCAGCTAGCCTAGCCTATTGGCAAACTCTCAGCCAGTGAAAGGCCCTGTCTTAGAAATTAAACAAGTTGGGTGGCTCCTGAGGTGTAGCAACTGTCCTGCGCACTCAACATGTGCACACGCACACACAGATGAACACACATGCCCGTGCAACAACAGATTTTGACTTTTACTTTAAATTCAGATGCGTGCAGTAAAACACGAAAGTGGAGGCAGCTATGAATGGCTCTAGATTTAGTTCTAGAGGCAGCTAGATGTTTGGGGGCAAAATTACTGGCTTGGATTTTCAGGAACAACTCAGATAAATACTTTGTGATATTTAGATCTAGTTTAAGTTTCAATAGTTAAGCTACTGGAAAGCTCTGCAGACCTAGCATCCTGTTCTGAAGCTAAAAACACCATGTTAGAAGTTCATTTGCTTAAGTGGAAAAGACCTTTCAAAATGAGTCAGGAGATCTTTGTTCTAGAGCCTGTTCCATCATTAGCTACTGCAAAGGACCTAGAAGCCACTCAGTACCTTTTCTCGCTAAGAGTGAAGGAACTGGCTTATCTCAGGCAAGAACACTCCCTGGAACCTGCTCAAGTGTCCAATCCCCTTTTAATAGTGAAAGTGATTTGTATTCACAGTGCTGGAGCGGTATTGGCTAGACAGCTGCACGTGAGTTTGTGTGTATACACAGAGACATATACATACATGTACACACAGTGAGACCTGAACAGGTACACACACACACACACACACACACACACACACACACACACACAGACATACACAAATGCACACACTTGTATATACACACACTCCATTGTGATTTAATGTGGCTTTACCACTGGTATTCGAAAAATGTTCCCCAAATGATTCTAACATGAAACCAGGCTTAAAAATCCTCAACTGTTGCTTTGTATACTGCCCTTCATACCAGAGTACCCATGAGTTCTGTCTTATTTTCTCTCTAATTAACACTCCATTCACTATAAAATGGTCAAATGGATGATAAATAAACTATAAAAGGTCAGATTCCAAATGTATATATAATTTACAGAGCAGATCCAAGGGTGCCCTCCCCTCAGCTCCAGCAGGCTTTTCTAGATGAGGGAAGCTGATTAAAATATTTATTCCATAGTTTTTGGATAATGGATGACAGTTGTCTTGAACAGTAAATATTGTGTTTTAGGCCAAGTTTCCGCCGCACAAACTGGTTTGAGCCAGTGGGCTCTGAGTACAAACAGGTTATGCAAAGAGTTGGTGTGATTGACCTGTCTCCATTTGGCAAGTTCAGCATCAAAGGCCAAGATTCCACCCGACTTCTGGACCATCTCTTTGCAAATGTCATTCCCAAGGTAAATAAACAAGGTCCAGGATTCTGACCTGGTCTTTTCAAAAAACCCAAACCCAACCTTCTTTGACTCCATTTATTCCAAGTGGATACTATATTGATCGCTTCAAGTGACCAAGAGTACGGCAACTATTTCTCAATTAAAATTTCCATTGAATAAATTGTCATCTATGATGCCAATGACTTCATTTAATGTGCCAGTGTGATTCTAGAGGTCAGAGGACAGCTTGCAAAAGTCTCTCTGTTCAACCTGTGGGTTCCAGGGATTGAATTTAGGGTGTCAGCTTTGGCTGAAAGTGTCCTTACTTCAGTACCAACTTTCCAGCCCTGAAATACAATTTGTAGGGAAATTTTGTATGATGTGATTTTTAGAACAAACAATTTTATATGATTGTTGAAATGGGAAACTTAAATTAATCTTTGGTTTACTTTCTATCCTTGATATAAATGGTAAGAGGTGGGGTTTTCCCACACATTTTACCCATGTGTGAAGATGCTTAATTCATCCTGAAATGATTTTAAATTATTTTGTGCAGGTGGGTTTTACAAACATTAGTCACATGTTGACACACAAAGGTCAAGTGTATGCTGAGCTGACCGTTTCCCACCAGTCTCCTGGGGAGTTCCTGCTGATCACTGGCTCTGGGTCGGAACTTCATGATCTTAGGTAAATAAACAGCCAGTAAAATAATTCTGTGCAGGTAACACGCTGACTCCATCTTCCACAGTTTTCTTTGTGTTAGTATTCTAGTTCCATTTCTGTTGCTGTGATAAAATCCCATGACAAAAAAGTAATCTAGGGAGGAAAGGCATTGATTTCAGCCTGCAGTTTCAGGTTGCAGTCTATCACTAGGAAAGTCAAGGCAGGAATAAGAACTTCAAGCAGCCTCTCATATTGCATCCACAGTCAAGAGCAGAGAGCAACGCACTCAGGCGTGATTGCTTACTTACACACAGCGTGGGTTTCCAGCTCTCATACAGTTTAGGAGCCTCTGCCTGGGGAATGGCACTACCACAATGGGATGAGTCTTCCTGCATTTAATTTAATTTAATTTAATTAAGACAATGCCCCATACACACATCCACAGGCTACCATTCCCCACTGAGACTCTTCCCCAGATAATTCTAGGCTGCATCAAGTTAGCAATGATCCATCATGGGGGCTGGAGAGATGGCTTAGATGTTAGCAGCACTGGCAGCTTTTCCAGGTGACCTGGATTTGATTCCCTTCACCCATGTGGTGGCTCAGAACCATTTTAACTTCAGTTCTAGGGGGATGTAATGTCTTCTTCAGGCCTCCAGGAGTACCAAGCACATACATGGCACACAAACATACATTCAGGCAGAACAAACCTACACATAAATAAAATTGAAAGAAGATAATCATCACAAAGTACTTAAAGAACAACTTTAGTTCTTTTTTTAAAGTAAGTGTGTGCATGCATGGAGGTTCTTGAAGAGACCAGAATAGGGCATCAGATCTCCTGGAGCGGGAGTTCCAGGTGGCTGTGAATCATAACTGGGTGCAGAGAACCATACTCTCACTCTCTACAAGAGCTTTAACTCTCTCAATCACTGAGCAATCTTTCCAGCCGCCACTTTAATTCTGAAATCTCATCAATGTGAATAAACCTCATGTGTTTTACAGGAATAGCTGAAGCAAAAGCCCCTGCCCCCTCCAAAAGGTGACCTGCCCAATGGCTTTACTGGGTCTGCTAATATTAACTAACTCTTCTTTATTAAACATCAAAGAGCCAGAGCTCCTTTTAGACATATCTCAATTAATTCTCTTAAGAGTTTGTGGGGGCTGGGGAGGTGGCTCCCATGGGTAGGATGCATCCTTCACAAGCATGAGAGCTAGAGTTTAGACTCCCCAGCAGCCATATAATGGCAAATGGGCACAGAGGCTCACAGGTAATCCCAGCACTTAGAGGCAGAGACGAGGCACCTTCAGAGTGAGCTGGGTAGCTGGACTATCTGAGAGGGCAAGCTTTGGGTTCAGGTGAGCTTTACCTCAAAATATAAGGTGGAGTGCCATCAAGGAAGACACTCAATGTCAACCTTTGCCTCTATACACACATACAACATGTGTACATATATGTGTGTGTATTACATATAAAAACACGTGCTAAATTAAAAGATTTGACAAAGTATGTCAAATTTTCAGACTAGGAAACAAGTATGAGTTAAAGTCGCCTGCTCAAGTCTGCATGACAAATTGGGTTCACTTAAGCCAACTACCTCTACTTATCTTCTCCATCTGTTTCATACCTAAATTGCAGACCTGCCTTTGCCTGGACCTCCAGTCCACTGTGAAGTTTCCATCTTTTTTATTTTAATTTTTTTTTCTTCACAATTTATTCAATATATATCCTGAATGAAGCTCCCTCACTCAACTCTCCAAGTCCTGCCCTTTCTCCCTCTCCCCCCCCATCCCCTTCCCCTAGTCCACTGAAAGTCCACTATTGCCATCTGTCATCTGCTTGTTAAATCTTATCAGGATGCTTGGATCCTCTTCTTCCTGTGGTCTGGCAAGGCTGCATCATCAGGGGCGAGTGATCATAGAGTAGTCAACTGAGTTCATGATAGAGGCAGCCCCTGATCCCCTCATTCAGAGATCCACATGGAGACTGAGCTGCCAATCAGCCACATCTGAGCAGGGAGTCTAGGTCATCTTCATGCAGGATCCTCTGTTGGGGCATCAGTCTCTGCAGGACCCCCTCGGCTCAGACCTTTTAGTTTTGTTGGTCTCCTTGTGGGGCTCCTGTCCCCTCTATGTCCCTCTATCCCCACACCTCTCTTCCTCCTTAAGACTCCCTGTGCTTGGCCCAAAGTTTGGCCCTGAGTCTCAGCATCTGCTTCACTCCCCCGTTGGATGAATCCTTTCAGAGGACCCTCTATAATAGGCTCCTATTCTCTTTCCTCTCTTTCACCACTTCTGGTGTCTATGCTGTTTGCCATTCTGAATGATATTTAAGCATCCTCCCTAGGGTCCTCCTTAGTGTTTAGTTTCTTTAGGTCTGTAGATGGCTGGCCTATATTATACGGCTAACATCTGCTTATAAGTGAGTGTATGCCATGCCTGACTTTCTGTTTATGGGTTACCTTACTCAGGATGATCTCTTCTAGCTCCATCCATTTGCCTGCAAATTTCATTATTTCCTTGTTTTTATCCATTGTGTAGATATACCACAATTTCAGTATCCATTCTTCTATTGAGCAACATCTAGGTTGTTCCCAGATTCTGACTATTACAAATAAAGCTGCTATGAACATAGTTGAGCAAAAGTCCTTATTGAATGGAAGGGCATCCTTTGGGTATATGCCCAGGGGTGGTATATCTGGATCTTGAGGTAGTGCTGTTCCCAACTTCTGAAAAAGCATCAGATTGATTTCAAAAGTGATTGTACAAGTTTACATTCCCACCAGCAGTGGAGAAGGGTTCCCCTTTCTTCACATCCTCTCAAGCATGTGTTGTCACTAGAGTTTTTAATCTTAGCCATTCTGATAGGTGTAAGATGGAACAACTCTGAGGAGTTGTTTTGATTTGCATTTCCCTGATGACTAAGGATGTTGAGAATTTCTTTAAGTATTTCTCTGCCATTCCTCTGTTGAGAATTTCTGTTTAGCTCTGTACACCATTTTTTAATTGGATTGTTTAGTTTGTTGGTGTCTGGTTTCTTGAGTTCTTTATACATTCTGGATATTAGCTCTCTATCGGATGTAGGGTTGATGAAGATCTTTTCCCAGCCTGTAGGCTATCATTTTGTTCTGTTGACAGTGTCCTTTCCTTTACAGAAGCTTTTCAGTTTTACGAGGTTGCATTTATTAATTGTAGATCTTAGAGCCTGTGCTGTTGGTGTACTGTTCAGGAAGTTGTCTCCTGTGCCAAAAAGTACAAGGCTCTTCCCTACTTTTTCTTCCAACAAATTTAGTATGTCTGGTTTTATGTTGAGATCTTTGATCCACTTGGACTTTAATTTTGTGCAGGGTGATAGATGTGGTTCTATTTGCATTTTTCTACATGTGGAATTCCAGTTAGAATATCACCATTTGTTGTAGATGCTATCTTTTTTCCATTGTATGGTTTTGGAATCTTTATCAAAAATCAGGTATCCATAGGTGTATGGGTTTATTTCTGGGTCTTCTATTTGATTCCATTGATCCACCAGTCTGTTTCAATGCCAGTAACATGCAGTTTTTATTACTGTTGCTCTATAATACAGTTTGAGATCAGTGATGGAGATACCTCCAGAAGATCTTTTATGGTACAGTATTGTTTTAGCGATTCTGGGTTTCATGTTATTCCGTATGAAGTTGAGAATTTTTCTTTCAAGTTCTGTAAAGAATTGTGTTGGTAATTTGATGGGAATTGCATTTAATCTGTAGATTGCTCTTGGTAATCTACAAAAGTGGCCATTTTTACTATATTAATCCTGCTGAGCCGTGAGCATGGAAGATCTTTCCATCTTCTAACATCTTTTTCTATTTCTTTCTTCAGAGACTTGGTTGGTTAGAGTTACACCAAGATACGTTGTCTTTTCTGGCTATTGTGAAGGGTGTTGGTTCCCTAATTTTTCTCAGTCCATTTGTCTTTTGTATATAGGAGGGCTACTTATTTTTTTTTTTAGTTAATTTTGTTTCCAGTCACTTTGCTGAAGGTGTTTATCAACTGTAGGAGTTCTCTGGTAGAATTTTTGGGGGTGACCCATTTATACTGTCATATCATCTGCAAATGGTGATACTTTAACTTCTTCCTTTCTGATTTGAATCCATTTGATCTCCTTTAATTGTCTTATTTCTTTAGCAAGGACTTTAAGAACTATGTTGAAGAGATATGGAAAGAGTGAGCAGCCTTGCCTTGTCCCTGATTTCAGTGAGATTGATCTAAGTTTCTTCCCGTTTAGTTTGATGTTGGCTATAGGCTTGCTGTATATTGCCTTTACTATGTTTAGGTAAGTGCCTTGTATCCCTGATCTCTCCAGGACTTTAAATATGAACAAGTGTTGAATTTTATCATAGGCTTTTTCAGCATCTAAGGAGATGATCATGTGGTTTTTTCTTTCAGCTTGTTTATATGGTGGATTACATTGATGGATTTCCACATATTGAACCACCCCTGCATATCTGAGATGAAGCATACTTGGTCATAGTAGATGATCTCTTTTGTGTTCTTGGATTCAGTTTGCAAATATTTTGTTGAATATTTTTGCATTAATGTTCATAAGGAAGATTGGTCTGAAATTCTCTTTCTTTGTTGCATCTTTGTAAGGTTTAGGTATCAAGATGACTGTGGCTTAATATAATGAGTTTGGTAATGTTCCTTCTGTTTCTATTTTGTGGAGTAGTTTGAAGAGTATTGCTGTTAGCTCTTCTTTGAAGGTCTGGTAGCATTCTAGGCTGAAACCATCTGGCCTTGGGCTTTTTTTGGATAGGAGACTTTTGATGACTGCTTCTTTTTCTTTAGGGGAAATGGGACTATTTAATTTATTTGCCTAGTCTTGGTTCAGCTTTGGTAAGTGGAATCAATCAAGAAAATTGGCTATTTCATTTAAATTTTCAAGTTTTGCGGTATACAGGCTTTTGAAGTAAGACCTAATGATGGTTTGGATCTCCTCAGTGTCTGTTGTTATGTCCCCCTTTTTATTTTTGATTATGTTGATTTGGATAGTGTCTGTCTGCCTTTTAGTTAGTTTGGCTAAGAATTTGTCCACCTTGTTGATTTTCTCAAAGAACCAGCTCTTGGTTTCATTGATTCTTTGAATTGTTCTCTTTATTTCTAGTTTATTTTTGTTGTTGTTGTTTCTCTTTATTGATTTCAGCCATGAGTTTGATTATTTCCAGCCATCTACTCCTCTTTGGTATGTCTGCTTCTTCTTTTTTTTTTTCCCTAGGCCTCTCAGGTGAGCCATTAAGTTGCTTGTATGAGATGTTTCAAGTTTCTTTATGAAGACACTTAGTGCTATGAACTTTCCTCTTAGCACCACTTTCATTGTGTCCCATAAATTTGAGTATGTTGTGCTTTCATTTTCATCAAATTCTAGGAAGTCTTTAGTTTCTTTATTTCATCCATGATCCAGCTGTCATTGAGTAGAGAGTTGTTCAGTTTCCATGTATATATAGGCTTTTTTTGCTATTTCTGTTGTTGTTGAGGTCCAGCTTTAGTCCATGGTGGTCTGGTAGGATACAAGGGATTATTTCAATCTTCTTGTATCTGTTGAGGCTTGCTTTGTGACCAATAATATGGTCTACTTTGGAGAAGGTTCCATGAGGTGCTGAGAAGAAGGTCAGTTCTTTTGTGTTTGGGTGAAAAGTTCTGTTGATGTTTGTTAGGTCCATTTGACTCATGACATCTGTTAGTGTCATTGATTCTTTGTTTAACTTCTCTTTTGTTGCCCTGTCCTTTGTTGAGAGTTGGGTATTGAAGTGTCCCACTATTAAAGTGTGGAGATCTATGAGTGGTTTAAGTTTTATTAATGTTTCTTTTACAAGTGTGGGTGCCCTTTTATTTGGGGCATAGATGTTCAGAATTGTCATGTCTTCTCAGTGGAATTCTGCTTTGATGAGTATGAAGTGACCTTCCCAACCTCTTTTGATTAATTTTGGTTGAAAGTCTATTTTATTAGATATTAGAATGGCTACTCCTGCTTGCTTCTTGGGTCCATTTGCTTGGAAAACCGTCTTCCAACCCTTTACTCTCAGGTAATGTCTATCCTTGTAGGTGAGGTGTATTTCTTGTATGTAACAGATCATTGGGTCTTGTGTTAGTCTGTGTCTTTTTATTGGAGAATTGAGTCCATTGATGTTGAGAGATTAATGACCAGTGGCTGGTAGAACCTTTTATTTTGATGTTGGTTGTGGTAGTGTGTTTGTGTGCTTGGTTACTTTTAGTTTTGCTGTAGAGAGGTTATTTATTTCCTGTGTTTTCCTGAACGTAGATAGCTTTTTTAGGTTGTATTTTTCCTTCTAGTATCTTCTGTAAGGCTGGATTTGTGGGTAGGTATTGTTTAAATTTGTTTTTGTCGTTGAATATCTTGTTTTGTCCATGTGTGGTGATTGAGAGTTTTGCTGGGTATAGTAGTCTGGGCTGACATCTGTGGTCTCCCTAGGGACTGCATGATATTCATCCAGGCCCTCTGGCTTTCATAGTTTCTGTTGAGAAGTCAGGTGTGATTCTGATGGGTTTGCCATTGTATGTTACATGGCCTTTTTCCCTTGTAGCTTTTAGTATTTTTACTTTGTTCTGTATACTTACTATTTTACTATACTTTATTTTGTGGCAGGAAGATTTTCTTTTCTGGTCTAATCTATTAGATGTTCTGTAGGGTTCCTATATGCTTATAGGCCTCTCCTTTAAATTGGAGAAATTTTTTTCTATAATTTTGTTGAAAATATTTTCTGGGCCTTGGAGACAGGAATCATCTTTTTCCTCTATTCCTATTATTCTTAAGTTATGTCTTTTCATGTTGTCCTGAATTTCTTGGATGGTTTGTGTCAAGAATTTTTTAGATTTAACATTTTTCCTTGATGGATACGTCGTTTTCTTCCATTGTATCTTCCACACCTGAGATTCTTTCTTCCATCTCTTGTAGTCTTTCGGTTATGCTTACCTTTGTAGTTCCTGTTTTTTCCCTAAGTTCTTCCTCTCCATGATTTCCTATGTTTGTGTTTTCTTTAATTTTTCCAATACTACCTTCAGATCTTGAACCATTTTGTTGATTTCCTTCACCTGTCTGACTGTATTTTTTTTGCTTTTCCTTCAATTCCTTCACTTGCTTTTCTTTTATGTATTTCAGTGATCTATTTCCTCTCTAAAGGCCACAAACTGTTTAGCTTCATCTTCATGTATTTCTTTACAGATTTCCATAATCTGTTTTACTTTATCTTCCTCTATTTCTTTACGTGTTTCATTTGTTTCCTCCATTATCCTCTTCATAAGCATAGATATAAGGTCATTTTCTTGAATTTCACTTATGTTGAGGTGTCCAGGGCTACTTGCCCCTGGATAACTGGGTTCTGGAGATGTCATATTGCTTTGGCTTTTGTTGGTTGTGCTTGCACGCTGGCCTCTACCCATCTGGCTATCTCAGGTGTTGGCTGTTAGTTTCTGATGCCTCCTGGAATCCTGGGGTGGGGAGAATCCTCCTGTCAGGAAGATGGTCATTCCTGAAGGAAGCCTTCTTAGCTTTTTGGGCATGGTGATCAAATGGCAGGTGCTTCTCAGGGAATTGCCACAGCTCACCTCAGGTGTATGGATCTATGGGGTAAGTGGGGTTGTTGGTAGTCAGGGGAGCTCTCCTCTCACCAGGAGAAGTCCTAGAGACAGCTACCCTGTCACTGGGTTTCTTGCTCTGAATTTAGTGAGCTGCTGCTGCTGCTGCTGCTCTTACACTGTATTTTCTGGGCACAGCCCTCTTGAAGAATCAGAGAGCTCCACAGTTTGGTCAGTTTAGTTAGGGAGACAGGTTGCACCTTGGAGCAGTATCTGGGGGCTGATCCCATGGATCCCAGGCTTCTGTAGGTCTGAGGTTGGAGCTCAGTGTCCCAGTACCCAAGTGGTAATCACTGGCAGGTGAGCGCAACACACAGGCATATGGCAGGAGGCTAGAGCTCAGAGACTACAGGAACCCAGGAACTTTTACAGGGATTAGCTTGGTGTCCTGAGTTCGGACCTGTTGTTTCCCTCGCTGTGGTATTTCCTCAGTCTCTGGGCTGATGGCTGAGTGCCTGCCGAATCTCGAGACCTTTTCCAGACATTGTCTGGGTGACCTGATGTGGGTTGGTACCAATTTCTTCCTTCACTGTAGGGTTTGCTTTCAACTGGAAAACCCAGTCTTTGGTTTTGTGGGATCCACAGTTCAGTGTGGGGTGGTGATGAGAGCATGCAGGTATGGGGCTCTGTGCTGGTGACCAAGAGCCTGCCAGGACCTAGGAATTCATCCTGGGTTTAGCTGGGTGACCTGAGAATGTTCCCTATTGCTTCCCACACTGTGAGTTTTCCTCTCACCTGGAAAACACAATTGCTGGTGTTTTAGGGTCCACAGGTTGGTCTGTTGGTCGCTGTGCAGGCACTGCTGTCCTGCTCATCAGACACGGTTGTTCTCTCAGCGCTGCCCTCTTGGATCACTCAAAGTTCCCATCTTTAATCTGGTATTCTGAAAGTAGGTGGGATGTTATTATTAAATCATGGTCTGACTCTGATTCTCACCTTAGTTGTAGAATTATGGAGATCTGATGATCAAGTGCAAGGGTGTGCAAGTCATCTGAGCAGCTGAGCCTCCAGTAACAGCTCAACAAATTATAGCCTGACCCAGAGAGTTGCCTTCCAAAAACTCATCAAGACTTAGAAATTGAGACTGGAGGTTTTCTCTTTTCCTTGTGATTATCAGAGCAATTGTATGTGTGGTGACAGGCACGTTATTAATGGCTAGCAGTGCAAGTATGTATCTTGTGTACAGGTATTGAAGCAAATTCAGGTTTAAATTAATTTTTGAAGATGGGACCATTAGTTTAAATGCAACAGAACCATCCCTATGTATAACCATGGCAAAGCTCATTTAAACTGGAAGATTCTTATTACCTGAAAAATTCCCTCCTCCCAAGTCTTAAATGGGCAACTTGAATCTCAGGGACTCATTTTCTTCAACCTTTGAAGTATGCCATGGCCCTCTAGGGGTTTTCTGATAATTCCAAACTTACAGCAAGTCTTCAGAGGCATAATATGCTAAAAGCATGTACTATTCAAGCAACATTCACATAGTACTTATGACCCCAATGCAGATGGATTGAAGAAGTGGCCATAAGAGGTGGATATGATGTTGAAATTCAAAACATAACAGATGAGCTTGGAGTCCTGGGAGTTGCAGGGCCATATGCAAGGAGAGTCCTTCAGAAGCTGACCTCAGAAGACCTCAGCGATGATGTTTTCAAGTTTCTCCAAACCAAGCCTTTAAAGTTCTCCGGCATTCCTGTCACTGCTATCAGGATCTCTTATACTGGTAAGAATTGGAAAACAACCGAAAGTAAGGAAAGGCTACCAGCAATGGGACACACACACTCACACATGCATAGTCACACACTCACACATAGCCACACACAGTCACACCCTCACAATACATGCACGTGTGCACACACACTCACACACACACACATACACACGCACTCATACTCACACAGGCACAGTCATGCCCTCCCTCTCTCTCACATACACATACACTTAATATTCTCTGATTTTGAAGAAAGATTTCTTCTGCCCAGTTCTAAGGCAAGAAGTTTGTCTGGCCACTCCCTCTCTTTAGAGTGCTTCCACCCATTTTTAGTCGCTTCTCTTTAGAATGGTAGATAAGAAAGGAGTAGCTGGAAGACCCCAGTCAGCAGACTGTATGAGAACACTTTCAGATAGTGTGGCTTCCAGCCCATTGTGACCATGACAAGCTTCCCAGTATAATAATGGTTCTCAACCTTCCTAATGCTGAGACACCTTAACACAATTCCTCACGCTGTGGTGACCCTTGACCATAAAATTATGTCATTGCTGCTTCATAACTGTAATTTTGCTATTGTTATGACTTATAAAGTAAGTATCTGTGTTTTCCCATGACCCCGTGTAAAGCTGTTTTTGACCTTTAAAAGCCGTTATGACCCACAGGTTGAGAACTGCTGCACTAGAGCATGGCTCCAGACACACCCTCCTTTCATGTGTGTGTGTGTGTGTGTGTGTGTGTGTGTGTGTGTGTGTGTTCCCTGAAGGAGCTTCTCCCAGCTCCACACAGAGTGTGTACTTGGTGCAGGAAGCTCATCGTTAGCCAGTGATGCTCTGGCTTTCTTCTGAGCTCCTCTGACTCCCTTGTCTCCTTACTGAAGGAGCGCTTTGTGCCCAGCATCCCTCAGCTCCATGTTGCTCTTGTTCTGCTGGCATCCTGGTGGAGCCCATCACTATCAATCCATGGTGGTGGGGAGCAAGTTAAAGCCACATTGTCCCTGGCTTTCCATTCTAACTTTTCCCAACCTCAGCCAAAAGGGTGACTTGGGGGGGGAGGGGAGGAAGGAGTCTTTGGGTCGTTCTTTTCTTTTCTTTTCTTTTTTAGCACATGGCTCTAACAGTGAATAAAAGGATCAGGTGGGAGGAAATGAGAAGCAAAAGAAGTTAGAGACTACTGTTAGCTATCCACAAGGAAGAAATAGGAATAATTCCACATTCTTTATTTAAGGCTTGTGAGTTCTTGAGTCGGAAGCTGGAGTGTCTGAAGCTTAAACTCCATTATATTTTATTGTTGTGTATGTGCACATATGTGTGTGCATGTTTGTGGGGGCCGGTGATCAACTGTGGGTATTCCCTTGTTTACTGAGACAGGACTTCTCACTGGCGTGGGGGAAGCACATACTAGGAGATCAGGTGAGGCTCACCAGCCAGAGTGCCACTTCCCCAGCATACAGGAAAATTTGCAGGAGCCGGTTCTTTCCTTCCATAGTGTAGGTGCCAGGGATCAAACTCAATTCATCAGGCTTGGCAGCAGACACTTTTACCCACTGAGCCATTGTGTGCCCCCCCCTTCCCTGCCTCCTTCCCCGCTCTCTTCCACACCCACCTGCATGTGCTTTTTAAAAATGTGGACTCTGGGCAAACTTCATGCTTAAATACAAGTTAAGTATTTTACTGTCTGAACTGGCTCTTCAGCCTCTTTAAAGTTGTTTTGTTTTGGACAGTGTCTCAGTAGCCAGGGCTGGCTACTTTCTCAGCTTTCTGAAGGGAGGGCTCACAGCAATCCTCCCTGTGCCCATATGAACCCCTTGAAAAATATGTGTTAGTTATTTACCTACTATCATTGTCCTGAAAACAGCCATGGTTCAGTATGACACCAGGGTCCAGGAAAGGAAGTAAGTTCTATCAAGTCTTTCTGTCTCTGGAGATGAGTTATCCAGCACTGTCCTCTGTATAGGACTCAGGATTACATATTAATGGCCAGTGAGATGACTGGCTCCTTGTAAGCTTGTTTTGTTTTGTTTTTGTTTTCTTAAACAGGGTTTCTCTGTGTAGCCCTGGCTGTTCTGGAACTCACTCTATAGACCAGGCTGGCCTTGAACTCACAGAGATCTGCCTGCCTCTGCCTCTCTGAGTGCTGGGGTTAAAGACATGTGCCATTTATTAATTATTTTAGTCTCTACTAGAACTCTTTGAACTTAACACAAGTGGTCCACGTGTAGTTCATATCTACTACAAAGCTCTGTCACTGCGTTACCTGTGTTTTTGAGCTGTTCTTTTAAAGATAGCAATGGCTGCATTGTGCGAGTGGGATTTCTCCTGCGTGTGTTTGTTACCTAATGTAAGCAAGCACTCACCCTGCAAGCACTGCTCTCATTCCTGGGCGGGCTCTGCCCATGCCTTTCAGGTGAGCTGGGATGGGAGCTGTACCACAGAAAAGAAGATTCCGCAGCACTTTATGAGCTTATCATGAACACGGGCCAGCAGGAGGGGATCGACAATTTTGGAACATATGCCCTGAATGCCTTAAGACTGGAGAAGGCTTTCCGAGCCTGGGGGTCAGAGGTTTGAATGCTGGAATCCTTGCTAAGACCTTACGCCTATTATATCTAATTTTTGTTAGAGAGCTACTTTTAACAGCAATACTATCAATGCTGGCTGTAAGCGAATCATACTCTCCTAAGTGACTTTGAGCAGGGAAAGAGGCCTCCCCCTCTAATTTCTAGTTGAAATTGACTGGGTTCTGGGATAATGCTCATTCAGCCTTAATTCCCCATGGTTGGTGGTAAACCCCAGACATTTTCTGACAGGCACACCCCAGAGGATTCGAGTATCACCTTTGATATCCCTGCCTTATCCTCTGTTATGCTGTGTCCCATTCTCTTCTCATAACACACCCTTGGATACTCTGCTCTTCTGTAAAATGGAATATTTATCCTACAGAACTAACATAGACATAGAGATGAGCCGAACAAACACACCACGCAATTAATTTCTAATTTAACCTGAAAGCTCAGGTAGGGGCTCCTGAGCCTTATCATGGAAGCAGGCTTGGAGGAATGCAGGTCCTGCCTGCTGCAGCAAACTCAGACTACAGCCAGGACTCAGGTGAGGCCAGCTGCTGTCAGAAAACAGGACAGTTTTGTTCGCGCACTCCCAAGAAAAGGGGCAGAGAAATGGCCCCTTTGAGAGTTAAACATTGCTGTATTCTGTTGTCGCTGTTTCTGATAGTTTTTTTTGCTGTACTCCCATCTTAGGGTCCTGTTTCCTGACAGTGCCAGAGCGCTCTCTAGTGCTGAAATAGCGACGAAGCCACTCTGTTTTTCTGAAGAAAAAAAAAAAATCTCGATTTTGAGCAGACTGAAAGATTAATTTCAGAGTAACTCAAACTGATAATAAGAAATATGAGAACAATTTTATGTGGTGTAAAGCAGCCTTAAGTTCTTCTGATATGTGTCAGTCCTGTGTTGACTCTTTGGGAGGTTAGAGCAGGCTGATCCCATCACTTTAAAGCAAACAACAAAACAGCCTGACTTCTAGAACAGTCCTCTTCTCACTAACAGTGTTAACTGATATTTTGTGGGATTTTCTTCTCATTCCTATATGTTTAATGGTCTCCATTGAGTTTATCCCTTTCATCTTTCCCAAGTTCTCATCATAGAAATTAGAATCTTCTAATAAAATTTTGAGAAGAAAAAAAAACATTAAAAGCAAAACAGAGATAAAATCCTGTAACTTTATTCAAGTTTAGGACTAAACTGAATCTTTTCCCTGAATCGGTACATTCTATCATGATTCAACTATTTTTGAGATTCAACCCTATGTTCCCTTTTCTTTTCTGAACTCTGTAAAAGCCAGTATTCTGCCATCTGCTCTTCTCTGTTTATTTCTATTCATGGCTAATTGCAAGATGAGCAAAGTTACTTGAGAACTTTTAAAAACATAATTATGCAAAATTATTACATAATACATACAAGGTTCTTGTGTGTGGAGCATCATGTGCTAGCCTTCAAATATTTCAGATAAAAGAGCAGAGGCCACTTTGATCACCTCCCCCTAAGGAGGGGAGCAGCCTTACCAGGCCACAGAAGATGACAATGCAGCCACTCCTGATGAGATCTGGTAGACTAAGATCAGAAGGAAGAAGAGGAGGACCTCCCCTATCAGTGGACTTGGGGAGGGGCATGCATGAAGAAGGGAGGGAAGGTGGGATTAAGAGGGGAGGAGGGAGGGGTTTATGGGGGGGATACAAAGTGAATAAAGTGTAATTAATAAAAGTTAAAAAATAAATAAAAGAATAACTATTTCTGGCAGAGGCCAGAGAGATGGCTCCATGGTTAAGCATGGATGCTATCACAGAGGGCTCAGTTCCTCACTGGGCAGCTCATAGCCTCCTGTTACTCCAGTTGTAGGATTAGGAATCCGATGCCTCTGTTCTCCCAGGACACCTGCACATACCCACACTCAGACACGAGCACATATACATGTACATAGTAAAAATTAACTAATTAATGAATTAACACCTTTAAAATAAAAGAGCAGTGGAATAAAATCCCAACTTTCAGTTTCTGTGTTTGCTATATTTAAATGACAACACTTGCCAAAAAAGTGTCATTTGAATTTTGAATTGAAAATACTGCTTTGGAGAGTAGTCCATAATTGGTCTTTTTAAGAATCTTTACACACACACAAAAAAAATCATAAAGTGCCCTTGCTCCTAGAAAGAATAATACAAGAAACTGATATTACTGCTTGAATAATTGCTATACATCATTAATTCAAGGTGGGGGCCACTGTTTGCTGGTATTTGCTGAATGAAGGTGATGGGTTTGTTTCTGTGTCTTCCTGTTCTCTTTGTAGCGAATTCTATCCTTGATCTGCCCAAAATTTACTAAGACTTGCTGGGAGTGGTGGTATACTCCTTTAATCCTCTGCTCTGGAGGCAGAGGCAGGCAGAGCTCTCTGAAGCACTAAACTTTTTAAGGACAACACAGATTTTTTTGTTTGTTTGTTTGTTTGTTTGTTTTTGGTTTGGTTTGGTTTAGTTTAGTTTTTTTTTTTTTTTTTTTTTTTTTGAGACAGGGTTTCTCTGTGTAGCCTTGGCTGTCCTGGACATGCTTTGTAGACCAGGCTGGCCTTGAATTTGCAGAGACCCTTTTTCTCCTGCCTCCCCTGAGTGCTGAGATTACAGGTGTGTGCCACTGGCCCAGCTTAACAACACTGTTCTTATGTGAGCCAAATTAACATGCTCATCTGAGATTTGAAATATGTTTTTCTTTCAGATGAACTGTGATACAAACCCCATGGAAGCTGGACTGGAAGGTTTTATCAGGCTGAATAAGGTATGTTTATGTTCTCAGATGTGTGTGAAATAAGTGTAAAGATGATGGCAGTGTTTATCGTCAGAGCCATGCTTTAAAACAGAACCAAGTGTGAGTATAGAAGAAACAATGTCAACACAAATACTAAACATTGCTTAATTGCTCCGTATGAATTATCTGTCACAATTTGATCGGTTCAGTCTGTGTGGATATGCTTAGAGATTTAAGATTGAAGAATCTAGGTATTTTAAGGGTTAAGACTAAAACCCAAGTTAGTAAAAATCACAAGATGATTATCAGTTGGACTTCATCAGACATCCTTATGAATTGTGCTATGTTGTGTATGTATCAGCTACTCCCAGTGGCTGGTAAGGTTGCACATCAGCTAACAAAGCAGAGTGTATATTGACTCTCCCTGGATGCTTGAAGGATAGAGCAGGCTTATGAATCAGTTTTGCATCAAATGATGGCATCTAAATATAAACAAAGGACATGCTTCCAGTGTGCCCAACACAAAGTAGATATTTACTAAGGAGCCAACACAGGCGCAAAGAATCATTATTGACATCAGTGTGCCAAAGGGATGTCCTACATCAGTGGCCCCCAGACTACCAGCCTCAGCATCATCTGGGAACTTGTTAGAAATGCCAATTCCCAGTTCCAGTCCTAGACTTACTAAAAGCAGAATTTCTGGGAGCCAGGCCAACAAACCTGTGTTTTAATAAACCCTACAGGGGTTTCTAGGAGTTGAGAAACACTATGCTACATAATTATTGCAGGAACTAATATCACAGGAGGCCATTTGATTATAGCCCTGCTCATCAGTGCCAGTCCAACACAGGTAAATGAGGTCATGCTATTGACTGGTGTCCGAGAGGTACATGAAAGAATTTAAAATGACTCGCCTAAGTGGTTGATACTGTTCAAGGTTAGGTACAACAGCTGCTGCCAGGCTGTTAGTGAGGGTTCTCCAAATACCCTCTCATGTTCAGAAGCTCTGCTCTGGTGTCCTGTCTTGTGGGAATATGTAAACATATTGTGTGTATAAATCAGGCTATGGAAACTTTTTTAATGCCTTGACATCAGCTCCTGAATTCTCAACTAAAGCATTAACAGGAACATATGTATTAACATGTGAATTTATTGTGCTGGATTTTAGGAGCAAGGACCCTATAAAGAATTCTTTTTTAAAATAATTTACTTATTTTTATTTCATTCTATTGGTGTTCTGTTTGCATGTATGTCTGTGTAGGTGTCAGATTTTGGACTTACAGTTGTGAGCTGTCATGTGGTTGCTGGGAATTGAACCTGGGTCCACTGGAAGAGCAGACAGTGTTATTAACCACTGAGCCAGCTCTCCAACCACCTACAAAGAATTCTTAAAGAAAGCTGTCTTTTCTGTGCATTTTTCCTGACTTGTATTTTTGTGATGTGCCATCTGTCACTAGGCTAGGGAAAGCAAGTGCTTGGGATTTGAGCAGCTCCTAGCAGCAGGTTGCTCCTGGTGGTGACAGAAGTCTGAGTTTGGCTATTTAAAATAAAGATAAAATGCCAGACTCCTCAAAATACCTAGTTCTCTGCTCCTGGACCCTGATAGGCAGAGGAAGAATAGATTCTTCTTCTTTTCTGTTTTGGGTCCATGCTAATTTCTCAGGCAAGCAACTAGATCTGGCTGTCCTGAGACCATGCCTGGTGGTGTCACAGCTTTGTGGAAGTCTGCATGAGCGACAGCTTCCTGGAAATCAAACATTGTAACCTAAGCTATGTAACTTGATAGGTCAAGTCCTGTGCCTGAGAGGCAAAAGCATTATTCAGACATTTAGCGTACAGAAAGATGCTCCCTTCAAAGCCCTTTAGAAGGCATTCTCTAACATTTAAAAGGACAATAATATCCGAACCCACATTGCTTTGGAAAATTGATGCCAGGCTGAAGTGAATACAGGGGAATATTTGGTTTGGGTAAATATAGAGGAATATTTGGTTTGGGGAATGAAACAAAGGTAACAAAACAGAACAACTGTAGAATTTTATTCAAATCATTTTTCCCTTTCTTTGCCTCCAAAGCAAACAATTATAATTAATTCTCTAAGTCCTTAAATACATGAGACAAGGCAGAAGTCATAGCAAGAAGACGTGCAGAGCTGACTGTTGGGGGTACCTAGCATTTCCTCTGCCTTTAAGGCTGGGAGCAGGTCACAGGGTGGTGAGGAGGCACAGCCCTTCCTCCCACAGTCCTTTTCCACACTGGCCTAGTGGACCTGAAATTCTGCCCCAGATTTCTTTTGCCTTACAACATATGTCATGAAACGTTCATAGAGTGCCCTATAAACTAAGGACTTCCTCAAGCATGTCTTTGTTATAACACATTTTTCATTTCATCATAGAGTCAGCATGGGTGTGTGCATATTTTAAGGAGGAAAGTTGGGGAGGAGGCCAGTCATGGCTTTGTTAAAGTCAGCCATGTTCTTGTCAAAATCATTGAGAAAAAGGAGAAACAGACACACAGACAAACACACACAGAGACAGAAAGAGAGAGAGAGAGAAGGAAAACAGGAATATTCCTTACTAGCTCAGCTCCTTCTCTGGTGCTGGCTTATGTGAATGACACACACACACACACCCTCAATCATATACACACTCTTATCTCACACACTGTTCTATACACACATCACACATATAAGTGCATGCACTCACACACACACACATATTCGCACACACTTTTACACTCGTACAAAACACAGAGACAGAGTTGTAGTAGCCCCTGGTGGCCAGCTTGATATGTATGTGTCATCGATCAGTGCTCAGAGTGGTGGTCACTCAGTGCCGGCTGAAGTGGTCACCGTGCTGGTCAGTTGTAGTACTCACTGTGATGGTTAATATAGCAGGCTCTGTGGAGTGCACAGGCACACACACGTGCACACACTTCCTTCATACACACACAAATGCACACGTAGGTGAGCACATACATGCAAACACACGTGCATACACCACTCACATCACACACATGAACACAATAAACTCACACACATATTCATGCACTCACAAACAGACTCATGTCACACATATGAACACAATATACTTTCACACACACACACAGATAGACATGCACACACAGACATAAATGCACACTTGAAAGCATCATGTTCTCACACTCACACACATGTACACAGCACAGTCATACACACTCAAACACAACGTACACATTCACATATACTCACCACTCACACACATGTGACCACTCCAAAATTTGTACACCCACTCACATGAACACACACAAGCACACACATATATATGCACACTCAAGGACATACGCACACATTCACACACACATTTCTTACACACACAGAAAAATCACACACATACTCATACTCTGTCACACACTGACACACTCATCCACACATTCACACACCCACACATACACATTCCAAAACACATGCACATGCACACATTCACATAGATACCCATATCACAAATATACACACGTACACACATGAACACTCACATGCACACTCAGTCACACACACACACAGACTCACATTCACATAAGCACTCACGCTTGCACCCATGGGCATGCACACACATATGGACACACACACGCACACATTTATTACACACAATTTCTGCGTCTTGCGAAGCCCCAGGTTAAAGACACACCTCACTGCCTCTCAGAACTCAAGAAGCGTGACCTCTTCAGGAAATAAGGCTGTAGAATGGGTTCTTAACCTGTTGCAGACACTCCATTCTGCATGGAGAGGAGCCTGCAGCCGTGCACAGTTCAGCCACCTCCTAAAAGTGCCCAAAAGAAAAGAATTTCAAATAAACAAACAAAAAATCAGGTCAGCACAATTTGCTTTCTAAAATCGAACTAAAATCTCAGTATTCTTCCTCCAGCAAAACAAGTCTTACCCTGTTAGTCACGGTATTTTGATTAATTTCAGGAGAAGGCTGTGTGGGGAGAAAATCAGGAGGCATTTGGTTATCACCAAAAATGGAACAATGCATTATTTCTAATCAAGAGCAAAGGGAAATCAGCTGCTTTGGGATTCCATAGGCATTTGTGGAATTTTCCTCTTGCAATTACTGAATCTTTGTTCATATCTAGAGCCAGAGAAAGCTAAGTACTAAGCGGAACATGCATGAGAGAAGAGATTTTCCCACATAGATTTATTCCTCTTCCTCTTGTCTTGATTTTCTAGCCAGTAGAAACACCCTGGCAGTGTAGTGACATCCTGACTCAAAATTAAAAAATAAAAAGAGGGCTGAGGCAGGAGGATTGCTGTGAGCTGAAGACCATTCTGGGCTTCATAGGAGCAAGCCGAAAGTCGTTGCAGTGGAAGCATAAGGCTCCGTATTTGGAACCCCAGGGCCCAGGTAAAGTGCCTGGCATGACATTGTATACCTGTCATCTAGGTCCTGGGCAGAAAGGGGAGACCGGAGGATCCAGATTCACTGAGAGGCCTTGTCCCCAAAATAAGATGGGAGTGTCTTATTTGGGGTTACTGTTGCAGTATTGAAGCACCATGACAAAAGCAACTTAGGAAGGAAAAGGTTTCTTTGGCTTACACTCCTATATCACTGTTCATCATCAAAAGAAGTCAGGACAGGAACTCCAGCAGGCAGGACCCTGGGATAGGAGCTGATGCAGAGGCCACGGAGGAGTGCTGCTTGCTGGCTTGCTCCCCATGACTTTCTCATGGGGAGAAAGTCTTTTCCCTTTTTCTCTCTCTCTCTCAGCGTGTGTGTGTGTGTGTGTATGTGTTTGCCCTCTTTTCCATTAATTGATTGATTGATTGATTGATTGATTGATTTTACATCCCAGTAGGACGTTCCCTCCCTCTTGTCCTCCCAATCCCTGCCTCCACCTCCTGTCCCTTCCTCCAGTGCTTCCTTCCCTTTCTTCTCAAAGAAGGGGAGACCTCCCATGGGTTTTAACCCACCTTGGCATGTCAAGAAGTACTGGGCCTATCTTCTATTGATGCTAGGCAAGGCTGTCCAGTTAGGGGAAAGGGAACAATGTTGGA